GGCTACAAGAGCAGGTCAGAAGCTAGGAACACTGCAAGGAGCACCTCATCTCCTGATTCCCAAAGACTGTCCACTATCTACAAGGCAAAAATCATGAGTGTGATGGAATATTCCCCACTTGCCTGGATGAGTGAAGCCCCAACAATACTCAAGGAGCTTGACACCATTCAGGACAAAGCAACCCGCTTGATTTGCACTATGTCCAAAACTGTCGACTCCCTCCACCACCCCGATGCTCAGTAGCAGCAGTGTGTACTATCTACAAGATGCATTGCAGAAATTCACCAAAGATCCTCAGACAGCACCTTCCAAACCCATGACCACTTCCATCTAGAAAGACAAGGGCAGCAGATATATGGGAACATCACCACTTACCATTCTGACTTTGAAATATGTCACCATTCCTTCACTGGCACTGGGTCAAAATCCTGAAATTCCTCCCTAATGGCACAGTGGGTCAACCCACAGCAGGTGGATTGTAGCAGTTCAAGAAGGCAGCTCACCGCCACCTTCTCAAGGGCACTAAGCAGGCAACAAATGCTGGCCAGCCAACGACGCCCACATCCCACAAAAATGAATAAATAAAAATTACCGACTCACACAACTTGTCCAAATCATACTGAAGAATCTTGTCACAACTCACCCTCCCACCCAGCTTTGTATCATCTGCAAGCTTGTAATTATTACATTTAGTTTCCTCATTTTAATCATTAATGATGCAACATTTTGCAACTTTTATCAGTCTAAGTAATTACTGCTAACTTCTACTGTCTAATTTATAATCGGCTTGTTATCCACTATGCTAATTGTCACTGAACTCCTCATATCCTGATCTTCATGAGCCTACTATCCGATAATGAAGACTTTCTAAAAATCTAAATGCGTTACATCTAGTTGTAATACTCCAGATGCAAGTGGAAACCTGGCCAACACTGTTGTTGCTCATGACTTTATTTTCACCCTGCCAACAGAATTGCATTTATGTAGAATTTTAATGTACTGTACACTGGTGCTTCAAAAGTACAGATCAGAAAGAGTAAACAATATTTGTTCAAAAACTGGATTTTTTGGAGTGTTTTAAAGAGTGAATTTCAAAGTTTGTAACTGAGGCTCAGCTACCAATGGTGGATGAAAGAGCATGGTAAGAATACACAAGAAAAGTGCTGGAGAGGAGTGCTACGGAGATGGGGAGCAGTGAGATTATAGAGAAATTGAAAATACAAGGAAGTATCAAAGTTCTTGTCCTCAACAGATGCCCAGGAACAGGGATCATGGGCAAACAGGACTTGGTATAGGATAGGATACTTGTGGCAGTGTTTTCGATGAACTGAAGTTCATGGAGCATGGGAGCTAGAAGAATTGCAAATTGATGTGCCATGTCAAATATTGACATCCTAGGCTTCAAAAAAACAACCAAAATCGTTTGAACCATAGCCCTGTAAAATTTGTCAGCTTCAGAACAGAACTGAAGGGAGAACGTTGAAGAAATCTTTCTTGATTATCGATTGAAATAGACATAAAACTTCATAAACCTTATTACAACAGGGATTGGTACTAGGTCCACTTTTGTTTTTCATTTATATAAATGATTTGAATGAGAATATAAGAGACATGGTTAGTAAGCTTGCGGATGACACCAAAACTGGTGGTATAGTGGACAGTGAAGAAAATTATCTAAGCTTACAAACAGATCTTGATCAATTGGGTCAATGGGCTGAGGCGTGTGGCAGATGGAGTTTAATTTGGATAAATGCAAAGTATTGCATTTTGGTAAAACAAACAAGGGCAGGACTTATACAATTGACAGTAGGCCCTGGGTAATGTATGACAGAGGGACCTAGGGTTTCAGGAATATAATTTTTTGAAATCTGCATCACAGGTAGACAAGGTGTTTAAGAAGGTGTTTAGCATGCTTGCCTTCATTGCTCAGGGCATTGAGTCTCAGAATTGGGATGTCATGTTGGGGTTGTACTGTATATTGGTGAGGCCACTTTTGGAATACTATGTACAATTCTAGTCGCCCTGTTATAGGAAGGATATTATTAAACTGGAGAGAGTTCAGAAAAGATTTACTAGGATGTAGTTGGGATTGGAGGGTTTGAGTTATAAAAATAAGCTGGATAGGCTGGGACTTTTTTCACTTGAGCATAGGAGGTTGAAGTGTGACTTTACATAAGTTTATAAAATCATGAGGGGCGTAGATAAGGTGATAGAAAAGGTTTTTTTTCCCTAAGGTGGGGGAGTTCAAAACTAGGGGCATATTTTTAAGGTGAGGGAAGGTAAGACTTAGAAAGGACATGACAGGCAACTTTTTGTTTACACAGAGAGTGGTTAGTGTGAGGAATGAACTGCCAGAAGAAGTGGTGGATGCAGGTGCAGTTACAATGTTTAAGAGACATTTGGATAAGTACATGGATAAGAAAGGTTTGGAGGGATATGGGCCAAATGCAGGCAGGTGAGAGTTTAGTTTGGGAACATGGTCATCAAGGACTAGTTAGACCGAAGGGTCTGTTTCCATGCTGTGTGACTCTATGACTCTAACAAGAACATAGTGCATCTGAACTCTCATTATCACACTTTTGAAAATCCTGCAAATGCTTTATCATCAGCATACTCCATTTTGTTATTTTGTTACCTGACCTCCAGAGAACTAGTTGTTTTTGGGGGAGCAGAATTGTCAACATATTAGAGTTCACTCGTTAAAACCAGGTCAGATAAGGCCAAGCCAAGGACTTTTTTTTAATCCCATAACCAGAATTTTATTACTGAATTGCTTCAATAGATGACTGCGAAGTGACAATTGCTCAAATAATTGTTTGTGGTAAATTCATCATTCCTCCCTTTACTCCTGGCTCCAATACATCAAATACTTTCCTTTACCTTGTTTTATCTTAGACAGATTTTACAATGAATCCTGTTGAGTGTTGAATGAGTTTTGTTGTATTCAAAATTCACACATACATCCCAAGAACACCAGTCAAACTTAACTTTGAATGCTTCAGTCTTGGAAATGTTCAGAACCATGGGGTTCATGTTGTTCTTGGAACAATAACACGTTCTACAGTACTAAAAAGGGTTACAATAAATGTACAGCACATATGTTTGTGCTGAATTTGCAGCTGCTTGAATTCAAAGTGTACAGAAGACTCAATAGCTTACAAGGTATTAATAACCTTACCAGATACAAAAAAAAAGGTAAAAAGAAGAAATACAGTAAAAGTAAATCATCACCTTCCAAAACAAAATAGTACAACAACAATAGCAAGCACTCCATTGCTGGTACACTGCTTCAGTAGGGTGCAGCGCTCGCACAAGAAAGGCCAATGATTTATCTTGGAATTAAAAAAACTAAAAAGTGAATTACGTGTAAAGATTGCACAAGACTGTTGTGAGTCATTCTTTGCACTAGAAACCATTCTTTCTTGCTTGGATCTCAAGTAAGTCCAAAACACTGCGCTCACCAACGAGTTCTGTCATGGAGTACCAGCTCTTCATTATGATCCTGCTAAATCTTTCTCCCAAAATTCATTTTATTTTTAAAAACTGTGATATTTGAGTGGCAAATCTTCATTCTGCCATTACATCTAATAGTTTTAAGCTTAATAAAATGTGTTGGTGCAGAGAAAAGTGTCTAATAATACTCTTCCTCATAGTTGTCGGTGTTCAGGCAGTAAAGTATGGCTGCTCCAAGCATAAAGATGGTACCACCCCAGGCAATACCATAACCCCAGTTGAACTCATGGTATGTCCTCAGTGTGTTTGCATCAATGAATTTGATTGGGTACAAAACCAGGGCGCAAACCTGCAATACAACTAAAAGAAACACACTGATTAGCTCAAGACTGAATGTAGGGTAAGGTAACATTATCTTCAATACACTAATCAGTGCAGAGTAGGGGAATGGAGTAAAGGCTATATTTGCATGAGCACCATTAGGGAGCTGCGAGATGGTTCAGATGTTGGGGGCTTTTGCATTTCACCAGTCTCAGAGGAGTTGTCTAAAGTAATCTGTGGATCAGCACAAAACTGAGTTGGAATGGAGATATTCTTTGGATTAGCATCACTATGAATGCAGAATGACAGAATGATATGGGCCGGGGAAGCATGTAAACTGACAGAATAAGGGTCAATTTTTACTACAATCTGCCAATTACTGTGGCTGCACCATTGCAAATGGTTGGTGGTTATTTTCTACAAGTACTTTTTAAAAAATATTAACATTTACTATTCAGATGTTAGATTTTATGACGACATGCTCAAATGTGCAGCATGCTCTGTTTAATATTCATTTCATAATATTGGCCAGAAGCCATATCAGTTGACTGATTGATGCTGAATAAGACACAACATTCAGAAAGGTTATTCTCTTCCTTTTATTCAAAGAAAAGATCTCTATTCCCTTCAATTTAGGGAGATTTGCTGCATGAGATTAATACTTGAGTTGACTTCCTCTATTAGAGGTATACACATTTGGTTGCTAAGCATCTGTGTTACAGGTATCTCCTGAACTAGTATCAGCGTTAAGTAATGGACAACATCTACTTGTGAGCCATCCCAAATACTGTCCAAGGTGTTTAGCTATAATATACACTGACCGAATTGGATAAAATCTGTTACATCAATATATTATGCGATTTGAATGTATGGACATTCCTAAGATCATGAAGCAAGGATTTTTTAATCCAATGGCATCAGGTTGTCACAAACATGAAGGGAAATTAAGGTAAAACATGGAATTAAGGTTCTATAGAATTTAGCCTGTAGTTTACAAATAAATGAGAAAAATTCCAAGAGGCCTCTTTCATACAAAGGCACACTTTTCCACAGACAGGGTCTGTTTGACTAATCCAGTTGCCCTGTTCGGTGCTGCACCTTACAGTGTCCTCTGCTTCTGGAGGTACCAGCACAACTCAAGCTCCCATGCTTGGTGCCCACCCTCACCATCACTAGGGTATTCTGTTACACAAATCAGGGAAATCTCAGGATTTATGGATTGCATGTTTTTATGTGGAGTGGTAGAGATGGAGGGACAGGGGAGGAGCTGAAGGAGATGAAAAAAAATATAGAGCCAAGGTTCTTTTTCTTCATTACTATGCAACTGTTTTTGCTGGAGGGTATGGACAGGATCAAGATGGTGTGATGGCCATCTCCTTCAAATCATGTAGATTTGCAAATAGAGAATGACTGCTCCAGCAAGATAGCACAGCCCTGCTAATCAACACAGAACTACGTCACTGAAACTAGTTACTGTCTTTGGTTAGGTGGGAGAAAACTGAAGAGATCCTTTTTTTCAAAAAAGCCTAACTCAACGTCATTGTAATTTTCTAACATTAGCAGACTTGTCACATGCTGTGGAAAACAAGTAACTGTAACACGCGACAACTCTTCCTGCTCAGTCCCCACCAAAACTACTTAAGACGATCACATACAGCCACTCACCTGAAATGAACAGCATAACAGCAATTGACCTGTAGCAACGTTTGTGAGCACCCTTGCACAGTAAGATCACAGCAAAGAGGAATGCAATTAGAGTAATAGATCCTCCAGCAAGCAGCAACACCAGTGTAGCAACCTGCCAGTCTGTTGGAGAGGAAATGAAAGTACAAATAAAGTAAAGGAACATAGCAGGTACAAACAAGTTTCTTTTTAAAATCGCAAGTCAGTAATAGGACACTTGACTCAGTAGCAGATATTTTGTGCTGGGGTCATTCAAGTGGACTATGTTCCCCTGTGATTCTACCTTATAGAACATATACTGAGCATTGGAGTACTTTTTCAATTGATCCAGCTTATGAATGTCTGACTGAATCAGGGTAATTAGCTTAAAGGAATTGCTGGAACTATCCTCAGTCAGGAGGAGGTTATTTTATGTTTAATCTATAATCACAAGTGTTATACCTGCTTTTTGTGATATAAAAAAGGTCAAGAATTGGAAATTTATTGTAATGTCCTTCCAGCCTTTGTGATCTCAGTTTGAAAGCACATTTGGTTTCATTTTTCACAGGTACAGTGGGTGGGAAGAAGAAAAGAATATCTGCTCTTAATCATCAATCAGTTGGAAGAAAGGATGAATGAGTGAACAATGGAAATTGGATCAGACTCTATTGCAATCGCTCCACAGTTAAATAGCTAACCTGACACTTCTTCTCTAGCGATAGTAAGAACTGCAGATGCTGGAGTCAGAGATAACGCAACAGGTCAGGCAGCATCAGAGGAGCAGGTTCGAAATGTCAACTTTCCTGCTCCTCTGATGCTGCCTGACCTGCTGTGTTCCTCCACTTCCTACCTAGGTTCATACTTAAACAGCACAGATAAATAAGAACATAAGAAACAGGAACAGTAGTGGGCAATAAGGGTCTATAGATTGCCAATAATGATATGAGGACTAATGCCTAGCATGGAGCACCACTATTTTCAAGAGAAAATAAATTGTAGGATTTATTTTGCCAAAAAAAAAGGTACAGCAGGAACTGAGTCACCTTGGATGACATTGATACCCGAACTTAAAGAAGTTGCAGTCCAAGTTCCTGTTGTGAATGCAGCCATCCAGTATTTGACTTTAAGCTTTTGGGAGGCGAAAACAGCAAAAACAAAAAAGTGGATCATTCCATCCTCTAAATAAAATTTTCCTGTTGCACATAGGTTCATCTCACTCTTGTAAAACACATGTGACTATAACCTGCTTTCCTGGCTGACACCCCAGCCCACAAGTGACAAATGACCTCATTCAGCAATTAGCCAGTACTAGTACATTATATATCACACAAACAGAACAACTATTTCAAGATTATCAGAACTGGCATTATTGAGTCATATTGTTAAGCAAGTTGTCAGTAAACATACGCTGTCATTCAGATTTAGCCTCAGAATATTCCCCTCCCTTGTTTCTGGAGAGTACTAACTCACACAGATACAATTCCAGTTCCTGATTTGTGTTGATCATCCTCTATCCAAGACGTAAATAGTGTCAGTGGCCTATTTCAACATGGTAGTGAGATGGGCAGTGGTACCATTTCCCAGTAGAAGCAATTAAACAGAAATATGAACCCTGACTTACATATCCTTCTGTGAGTCAGTGTTAAATCTTGTACTTATGTAGCAACGCACCTCATAGGATCAAAATCAAACAAGTTGTTGTTAATTTTCCCCTGCTTGTCACAAGGCAACAAGGCAAATTGAAGCACACTACAAGTGCTGCGCTGGATGAGATCAAAAATTCGACAGAGTCAGGGGAGTGAGAGTATGATTTTTGGTTAATAGTAAAATGCAGCCTTGGACAGTTGAAAGTAAATGCAGAGGAAGGGAATCTAACCTTAGGTATTCACCTTCCTCCTCTCAAGAAATTCTCCATGTTACAGATTCCCCATTTAGGATTAGCTAATGAATTTGTGTGTAAATGATGTGCTTATGGCAAAGGGACAGCAATAATCATGTGTGACTTTAATCTACAAATAAACTGGAAAAATAATTAGATTGGCAGTAGTAGCCCAGATGGGGAGTTCACAGAATGCTTTCAAGATTGTTGCAGCACATTTTGGAACTGACCAGACAATAAGTTAGATTAGACTTGGCATAAGTCTTGGAGAAACTCAGCAGGTCTGGTACATCGATGGAGCTAGAAATAAAAGTAATGTTTCGATTTCAATATGACTCCTCTTTGAAAATCCAGAGTTTGTTTTTTTAAAATTTCAGATTGACATCATTCACAGTGTCTTACTTCTGTATTAAATTTGGTATTGTGAAATGTGACAGGATTAATTAAAGACCTCGGAGTTTAGACACCCTTATGTAGCAGCAATTGATGAAATTTTACTTCCAGCGTGAAAGGGAAAAGATTGGGTCTAAAACTAGTATTTTAAATGCAAATAAGGGCACCCTTATGGGGATAAAAGCTGAGCTAACTGAAATGAACTGGAATACTAGGGTAGAAGATAGATCAATAGAGAGACAGTGGCAGATGTTCAAGGGGATTTTTCAGAATACACAGAAGTACATTCCAGCCATTAAGAAAAATTGTAAATGGAGGTCCTAACTCCATGGTGAATGTCAGAAGTTAGGTAAAGCCTCAAATTTAAGGAAAAAGCACATAATTTTGCAAAGGTGAGTGGCAGGTCAAATGATTAGTCAGAATATAAAAAATAACAGAGAATGACTTAAAGGTTAAATCATGAGGAAGAAATTAGAGTGTGAGGGGGAGACAGCTAGGAATGTAAAAACAGATAGCGGGAGTTTCTACAGTATTGGAAAAGGAAAAGAATAAGGAAAGTGATTGCTGCACTTCTAAAGAGTGAGAGTGGGGAGTTAATGGTAGCTAATAATAAAATTGTGCATAAAATTATCAGTCTTCACTACAGAGGATACAAAAACTGTTTCAATAATATCTATGACTGAACTTAGCGAGGGAAGTGATATGAAGCAAACTGATGGAGTTGTGGGTTGACAAGCCTCTGGGTACAGAGGGCTTCATGCTAGAGTCTTAAAGGAGATTATAAATGAGGTAGTAGATGCACAGTCTCCACTGGAGTTCAGAAGAGTGAGGGGTGACCAGATTGAAGTGTTTAAGATCCTGAATCCTGATAAGGTGGACATGGAAAGGATATTTCCTCTTGTGGGTCAGTCCAGAACAAAGGGGCACTTTTAAACACTAGTTGTTGGTCTTTTAGGACACAGGAGAAGAAAATTCTTTTCCATGAGGGTTGTGTAATATTGGAATTCTGCCTCACAGGGCAGCAGAGGTGGGTTATTGAATATTTCTAAGGCAAAGGTGGATCGATTCTTATTAGTCAGGAGGAATAAGGGTTATTAGAGGTAGGTGGCAATGTGGAACTGAATCACAACATACTAGCCATAATAATTTTACTGAATGACAGAGCAGGCACGGTGCTGAATGGTCTATTTCTGTTCCTATTTTACACGTTAGTATATTATTGCTGAAGTGAGAACTGTAGCTAAGTTCTCTCAAAATTCTTCTCAAGGGCAATGCTATGATTGAATACATCAATTGGAGGGTTTTAAGACATGTACAACAAATGCAATCTGATACTGGCACATTATGTAATCAAACCACTTTACATTAATAGGCTTTAAAATTTAATGCCACATGTGATACTAACCACAATCCTTGAGGTCAACAATGCAAGTATTATATGCCAGTAGGGCTGGTTCTTTCCTTAGACTGTGATTCCTTCTTTTCTGAATTGTTCGCAATTTTTTTTGTAAGAAAAACTGAAATCGGACCTTAAACCAGTACCATTAACATAACAACATGGTGTGACTTAAAAGCATTCCTTTGATCCTTGGCACACTCCTGGCAGTCAGCAGGGCAGGGATTAAGGTGGGAAAATAAAAATCAGCTACAGAGTTGCCCAGGCATTGGTTTATAGCTTGTGCTTCAAGTTAGTTTTAGACTGCTGAAGATCTGGTGGTATAATGGGTGACATGGTTCAGAGAGAAAATTTCTTTCACATCAAGGGAAACAACTTCAGCCTAAAATGACTGTTAAAATAATTAGGGCCAAAATGCTACTATAATTAAAGAAGCAGAAATGGAAAAAAAAATGTTCTGTCATCAATAAAAGAAACTGAACCTTTAATCAGTGACTGCTCATTCTCCCTCCCTCCACCACCACCTCATCGAAAAATCTGACTGACAATGTCTTCTGGGAACCTGGATAATGTTTTCCAATAACCACTTTTATTGATTGGCTCGCTGTCCTTAAAGACGCATTACTTTTTAATTAAGATGCACAACTTCAAAATCATTAAAGGCGATCAACTTATTTTAGGATTGCAACTTAAACTATTTTTCCAGCACAGTCCTAAGCTACATTTAAACATTGTAGCATCAGAAGTATTCTAAAGTGATACCTACAGAATATACCAGGACTTGTGGATTTAAAGATGGTGTAAAAGAATTTACAAAATTGTGAATATAGTGAACAGCTTTAGCATGGGCATCAGAACCAGAATAAAATTGACATATGGGCCTGGAAGGGAAGCAGCAATAGGCCTTATGCTTTTCACAGCAGCTGCTACTTTGGGGTGTGAAGAATTTGCAGCTGCTCGTACTTGAAGGGCAGGGCACCATAGAAATGACTTGTCCCTTGTTACCAGCAGCAGTTCATTATTACATGGTAGGTCCATTAGAAACAGGAGCTGGCCATTCAGCAGTTGGAGCCTGTTGTGTCATTCAGTCAGATCATGGATAATTTGAACCACAAAATTTCTTCATTCACCTTCTTTTTCAAATTCATGCATATCCTTAACCAACAAACAGCTAAATCAGAAGTCACACGACACCAGGTTATAGTCCAATAGGTTTATTTGAAGTCACAAGCTTCAGAGCGGAGCCCCTTCATCAGGTGACTTCACCCATTTGGAAATTTCAGTTGGCCCAGTAGCCACAGTGAATCCAGAGTTCTACTATGCTTTATGTCAGTGTTTCCAAATGTTACTCATTGTCCAGCTGTAATCTTAACGTGATGGTTTTGTACTGGACTCCCACACAAGAGAAAATAGTTCTATATCTACCTAACTGAATCCCTGTATCATTTGTTTAGATCACCCCTCAATGCTCCAACCTCAAGGGAATATCAACTAATTATAAAGCATCTTTGCTGGTCCCAAATGGAGCTTATTATCACCAGATTATCATATTCAAGACCTGCACAAATACCCCCTGACAATGGAAAAGGTCCAAAGCTAGAATAAAAAATTCAACTGCAAGTTTTGTTGGGAACTCATGCTGATTTAGCTCTCACTAATCTGAGGCAGTGAGTGGAGCCTCTACTATCTCCCAAAGAACATCTATGCCACAGTCAAACAGAGAACAATCAGACCCGGTTATAATATTCGATTGGAGCTTTTCCTTTCATCAATCATTTACACAGGTTAAGCAACAGGTTGGGACAATGCTCATTTTTTTTTTGGGAGAATGAGAGGTAATGTTATTGAGGCATACAAAATCCTGAGGGGCGTTGACAGGATAGATGTTGAGAGAATGATTCCCTTGTGGAGGAATCCAGAACCAGGGCACAATTTCAAATAACTGGTCTCCCATTTAAGGAGATGCAGAGGAATTTCTTCTCTATCCCAGCCCAGACAGCAGTAGAATCTGGATTATTGAATATATTCAAGGCTGAACTGGACAGATTTTTGATCTGAAAGGAAGTCAAGGAGTATGGGGTACAGGCAGGCAAGTAGAGTTCTGGTGATAATCAGATCTGCCATTTCCATATCGACTGGTGAGGGAGGGTAAGGGAGTCAAATGTGCCTTTTCCTCCCACTATTTATTAAGTTTTTGTGGCTTATCATGCAGCTATGGAAGTTTCTTCTCACTATCCTCTCCTTTAAATCAATTCAAGCCAAATACCACGGGTAATATAGTGAGTGGCTTAGCCATGCAGATCAGGAAGGTCCCAAATTTCAGATCTGTTGATGGATTTTTAGCCAGGACAGTGGCAAGGGAGCTACAATTGACATTAGTCTCTAATGTAAGGAGGTAAGGGTATTATAAAGAACACTACAGTTGTGAGTTTTTATTGCTATACAGTGATCCCCCCAACAGAAGCATGTGAACATAGGGAAAGATAGGATTATGTTATTTTTATGTGCATGCAGGGTCCTGCCAGCTGTCCATCAAAACACCTCCATAAATAGTGAGGAAAAATGGGCTAAGTATCAGAGTCACTGAAAATCAGAAATAAAATCAGAAATTACTGGTGGTCCTAAGCAGGTCTTGGACCTAAAAGGTCAGAATTTGCAATATTAACTCTCTCTCTCTCTCACCTCAGATGCCAACGGTCTTTGCAGCAATTTCTTCTTTTCTTCCATAAATAATGAAAGTTGGATTAAAATAAGGTGCCAGGTAAGAACTGGATGTAATTGGACAGCTATGGTTTAAGGAACAGGGAAGAGCAAAAATACTAAGGAAACCCCTACAACTGTTATAAATCAGCTGGTGAGAATACTGCAAGAGAGAACACAAAGTTTATCACTAGAATTTAAGTAAGTGGTGGGACATGAGTGTGTGTATATGGTATTCTTGAGCTGCAAAAAATATCATTAATTTTAGGCAGTGTCCACAGCACTGTCACACAAGATCAGAATGAAATACTTGAGCATAGATTTGTCACAGCTGCTGGAGAGAGAATAAAAGAACTAAGTTGATAGTGATGAATTTTCAAAGCATCATACAGGAATCATACCTATAACAGTATTAAAGTATTTTAACTTGAGTTGTGTTTTGCTGTGAACATGCCTAACATGCCTGGTGACAGAACTGAACGAACACTAAACGGAAACTCACTGCCAGGAAGAAAAATATTTGGAATTATTGGCCAACACGCTGTTATCTGAAAATTAATTCAAACTAATGAGTTGCTGGCAGGTGCTGGTTCACTCGTAGTTGCATATCTGGAGTAGAAGCTTAAACAATTCTGTTTCGCAGTTTCATTCCCCTTCGAACAATTTTTTAGGTCTAGAATACAAGTTTTTTTTCAAAAATGTCTTTTTTTTAAATCAGGTTATGAATACGCAGTAAGACAACAGACAATAGTTTTTTTTTCACGATTCTCACTCAACTGTGTAAATAAAAACTTCTGATCCCTAAAAGGACGCTTGTTTTTGTTCTGGTTTCCCTTTCCACCCGATCTGCTTTTACCGTTTCCATGTTTTCGACATTCTGTCTCTCCTCCCCTCCCCCTTTCTTCAGGAGTTCTACCAACAAAGAGAGAAGTTCACTCTGAGGCAGTCAACCAGCAAACCCCCTCCCGCCCCAAAGCTAACCTTCTGTTCGCTTCAGGGAAAAAAAGACTCTTCACAATTGTTGTACATCAGGTAAAGAAGAATAACGTTTCGAAAACAAGTTAAATGTCCCGGAAAGTTTTTAGGGGGGGAAAGGGTGTGCGGGACGGATGTCAATAACACAAGGTAATTTCACTCAAATCAAATCTTGCTTCAACTAAGTACAAGTCAAAGGGGCTGCTTTCCAAATCAATGCTGAGCGCATTTTAAAATACAGAAGTATCTGGTAATTGTAGCAAACATTAAACTTCAAAATGATCGCAGTAGCGTTTTCTAAAAATACACTTTTTTTTTTCGAATGTGCTAACCCTTACCTGTCTGGAGAACGGACTCACAGTACCATCCAGCCGTGGTTTGTTTGCAGTAATCCCAGAGAGAAAGCGAAGAGCGCTCAGCAGTGACCCAGGCTGGACTCAGCAAAGATACCACGTCCAAACTCAGAGCCACGAAGACACAGATCAGAGCGATCAACTTAAAGGGTCGAACTATCCGCACCTCATCCACAGCCATCGTCTGTCCTAAATGGTGGGCAGGAAAGGACGATGAACACAGAGCGCAAGCTTCTCCTCCCTCAGCCCGGAGAAACCGTAAGAAGCCGTGTGTCTGTTGCATCTGATTGCTTTCTCACCACTGGGTCTTAACGCCTCCTCTATGTTCATTCGCCAGTCACTGAATGGAAGGGAACCCAAGGACCGCCTGTAATTTACCACCGTCAAGAAGGATCTTAGGTTAACGAGGCACGCATTTCTCTTCTCTCTAACTTACATGAATTGATGTGTCCTATTTGAGTTCAATTCTTCTCCCTATAACGGTATCATTGTTTTTCTATTTTTTTTTTAATGTTTGCAACTTTCTCCGTCCTGTCTGTATGTCTCATACAACTTCTCACTGCCAACAGTACAATACTATAACGTTAAGATCATCCCAAGACGCTCCATATATCGACGTGAAGTAAACATGCTGCACCGCCATGAAAGCATGAGGAACTGTGACCATCACTCCACAAGTTTTGAGAAGCTTCTCAAGGAAAGGAAGATGGGCAGATTAAGGGAGAGAATTCTGGAAAGTAGCAGTGGAGCCTGGCTCTCCCTTTGCAGGAAAGAGGTCAAAGCTAGGGGAACGGAGAATAGGGATTAGCGGGATTTAATGAGTTAGGGAGGTTAAAGATCACAGAAAAAAAAGACCTCGAGGATAAGGAAGTTACATTTGATGTTGGGAGCTGAGAGGGGTGGGGATGAACAGCGCCGGAACTGATAGTCAAATTTTGGAAGAGGTTTTTGAACCCAGGGACATACATATAAGGCAACGTGAAAACAAACACAACAAAGGTGACAGGACAAAATATGTTTACTGTAGTAAGTGGATTGTGCTCTGCAACGTGAGGCAAATTCAGTTGTGACTTTCAACAGGGAATTGGGTAAGCACCTGAAAAAGGGAAATGGGAATGTAACAAGGATATGGGGAAGGGCAAAGGAGTGAGGCAAGTTAAATTACTCCGTGGGTTTGATAGGATGAATGGCATCCTTCTGTGCTGCGACCATTCTGTGATTCTGCATGGTAGATCACGGAGACTGGCAAACACTGCAGTAATATTGTCTGGAGATTATGTACCAATGTAAATTAGTCGGTAATTAAGACAGATATGAGCAATACTGCTGAAGTAAAATAATCTGACTGATGCTAGTACACTGGGTAGGAAGAGAGAATGAATTGACAATAGATGTGTGAAATATGTACTGGGGGGTTCCCTTCAAATGCATGTGGTTTCTTAGAAATAACAAGGTGTAGAGCTGGATGAACACAGGCCAAGCAGCATCAGAAGAGCAGGGAGGCTGAGATTTTGGGCCTAGACCCTTCTTCAGAAAACGTTTCTTAGAAATTAGGTTAACAGTTTAGGACAAGCTGTGATTCACTGGCTCATTACAGAAAGTGAATTGACTTTGGAAAATAGCCAAGCAAAGCCTTTAGGGAGATAAGAGATGGAGTTTATTAACATCATTTGTTGGAAAACATAGTTTTAGAAGAGACTGTGGGGGTGCTTGTGTTGATGGTTGCCAACTAACCTTTTTTAGACCTGGTTTCTGTTTTACAGAAAAGAAATGGCATTGTTGGTCAGGGAAGCACTATAGGTTAGTGTACACAAATGATTAGTAAATGGAAAAAGCCAGCAGAGCTTTGGATGAGCTCACATTTATGAAAAGTAAACATGGCTGGCCCGGAAATCATTGTAACAAGATGTCTGGTGGTAACAAATGTATAGATGTGTTTTTCAATGGCAAATGAGCTGAGGCAATGTCCAAGATAGACAACATTGCAGAGATACAACATATCAAACCTGGCAATCCCCTAAAAGCCTGCATATATGGACTGGAATTCCTGTGTTGCACTCAAATTGCATTCAAAGTTACACTAATTTAAGAAGAATTTTGGTAAAACTGTTTTGCACATTGCCAAAGAAAAATCTTTCATAAATCAGTGCAGTCAGGCCTTTTAGAACTTTGTCTATAAAAGGTGCTCCTTAATATGTAATAGTAATAACTTGGAGTAGTTTGGTAAAGTTAGCAAAGTATTGTACATTTAAATTTTTGCACCAGGGGAGATGTAGGTAAAAAGTTGTTTCATCTTATGAAATCAACTGTATTGATTTACCACAACTGCATAATTTGTGCAATAAATTTGATCTGCATGCTATATCTGTAAGAGGTTGAGACTGCTTACTGTTTGGTTATCTGAATACTAAAATAACATAAGAGAACACGTCATTTATCAGAAGGAAATTAGAGTAACAAAGGAACTTTGTTGGGTCCCTGGATAACATTGCATTACTAGACATTGTGCATATAATGTTACATGATATCTTTTAAGGTCATATGTACAGCTTGGTTTTGAGCGCAGGAAAAATTTTCAGCAAAGCATTAAGATTGTAACAACAGTTTCTTTACAGTAGAATATGGAATGGGCATTACACAAAATAATGTTTCTGTTCATATATGACATCATCTTAATAATTGGCCGTCAGTAATGCCACACAAAATCTGCTGATAATACAGGATTAAATTACACATTGAACTAAGCCATGTAGAGAACTTCAATTCAATGTAGCCTCATTGAATCAAATTACACATTCCAGGCAAAGTGTTGGGTCCAGCATTGTCCTTTCATTTCCTGACAATGTATGCCTTTTTAATTATACTGCAACAGTGTCACTCAAAACAGCTACATTTTTAAAATGATACAAATTCAAAATTCAGAGTGATGAATAGCACACCTTTTTATAAATTCAGATACTTATAAATTGGAGCTTGAAGCTAATCAGTACAATCCAATCTGTAAAGTCTAATTAACAGTTGAAATAAAAACCGAAAATTAAGAATTTCAACAGATCTGGCGCATCTGTGGAGAGAGAGAGAGAGACAATTCTGAGCAAGAGTCTTTAAACCCAAAAAGTTAACTCTGTTTTTCTCCACAGTTGCTACCAGAGCTGCTGAGCTTCTCTTGCATTTTCTGTTTTATTTCAGATTTCTGGCATATGCAGTATTTTTATTTAAGCAACAATTAAACTTGGAGTAGCTTTTCTGCAGCCAAGGGCAGCAGGAAGCAGCAGTGTTGATTTTAAACACAAACTTCATTTAAATACTACTTCCACATGCTATTAACAATTGGCATAGAGAATGAACAGAGCAACTACTGAGAGGTGAAGAAAGGGTTGTCCTAAATGTTAGGGAGGAGATTCAGGTGGATCTCTTGAAAAGGAGTGGATGCCCATGCACAGAAAGCTGGCTTTTATTATGGGGCCTGGAGGAACTTCATGAGTTAAAAACAACTTCATGAGTTAAAATCAACTTAACTCATCTAAAATCAACTTGTCACTTTATGAACAAAATACAGACATGTGGACTTCCGTGAATTTAACATGAGGCAGTATTTCTAAATAAGTTTTAAGTTTCACTGATGATCTTGCAAAAGAACTGTGAAATCTCTGGATTTTCATATACATTTAAACAACCAATGATAAAAAGCAACTGCAGATCAACATCTGAAAAGCCTTGAAGATGAAAAGAGTATTCCAGTTAAACCGCAGGTTCTGTTAGCCAAGTTTCATTTGCAACTGAAACAACTTGACTTGGGAAAAATCAGTGAGAAATTGCATTTGGGAAATACAGTAAAATTTAAAAAAAAGTCTCATCAAGAGAGGAAAAGGCCAGGGAAATATGGAAACTTGAATTCAAATTCGAAAGGGAAAAGGGCTTGAGAAAATTTGAACTAGACAATGAAAGACAATGTGAAAGAAAAAACAAAATTAACGTTTCAGGCCCGATGAGCCGTCCTCACTGTGTTGACTGAGGAAGGGTCACTGGACCCGAAACATTAATGCTGTTTTTTCCTTCACAGATGCTGTCAGACCTGCTGAGCTTTTCCAGCAACTTTGTTTTTGTTCCTGATTTACAGCATCCTCAATTCTTTCGGTTTTTTAATGAAAGATATTGCTTAAGTGAAGGAGAAGTAATCGGGGGAGCTGAAAATCTGTCAGTTTCAACTCCTGGTATTGATTTGTCAAGGAATATTCTTATAATGTATATACTTAGTGAGGACAAAGTTGAAACGTATTTCGTATATTTGAAAATATTGCTAAAAGGTTAGAATAGCCTGAAGAAATTTGGACAGTCACTTGGTAGTACAAAACTTGAGTATCGCTGAGAAAAGACATGCTGTGAAATTTTTTCACCTTGCATTGATCAAAGTAGAATCACAAGAATACCAAATTTCAAAGGGAGCAAGAGATTTATACTGCACGAAAAAATAGTTGGTCAGCAAATGCATTATGATTGGTAAAGGCATGCAATAGATACTGAACCAGGGAATGATATCCTGAACTTCTTGTTTAGATTCAAACCAGGCTAGTCGACTTTGATTTTTTTTTGAGGCATTGCTTTGGGGACTGCACCAGGGAACAGTTGTCTCTCAAGTTTATGTTGCATTGAAAAAGGCACAATGTCTGGATTTCTTTTTTGCTTCCAGAGGCCTGGATGCCTTGGATCTATATGTGTAACTTCTGGAATGAAATGAACCACATTGTGAGCTTAACTAATAATTTTAAATTGGTTGTTAGTGTAATTCTTACCACACTCTGGATTGTTCACTAACTTTTTTTATTCACTCATAGGACATGGGCATCGTTGGCTGGCCAGCATTAATTACCCACCCCTAGTTGGCCTTGGGAAGGTGGTAGTGAGCTACCCCCTTGAACCGCTGCAGACCACATACTTTAGGTTAACGCACTAATTTCCAAGTCAGGATGGTAAGTGGGTTTGAAGGGGAATTTGCAGGTGGTGGTGTGCCCTATATCTACTGCCTTTGTCATTCTAAATGGAAGTGGTCATGAGATTAGAAGGTGCTGTCTAAGTATTACATAGAACATAGAACAGTACAGCACAGTACAGGTCCTTCGGCCCACAATGCTGTGCTGACCTATTATCCTACTAAGATCAATCCACCCTGCATACCCTACATTTCACTATCCTCCATGTGCCTATCCAAGAGTCACTTAAAAATCTCTAAAATACCTGACTCCACTACCACTGCCGGCAGTGCATTCCACACGCCCACCACTCTCTGTGTGAAGAACCTACCTCTGACATCTCCCCTATACCTTCCTCCAATCACCTTAAAATTAT